ATCTCATCGATTTTGGTTGGTCACATGTTTCTTTGGCAACAGAATGACTATTCAATATCTTAGCTTATATTCTTATTTGGGGGAACACATTGCTCTAGCAAACAAATTTGATGGGTTGCCAATCTCAGAAAGAAGAAAGCGGAGAATGACATCCCACCTTAGGCCATGGGGTTGGAGTCGGCTCACACAGGCTTGAGGGCGTGGATCTGGGAGGTGCAGCAATCGAGGACCTTGTAGAGATTATCACTATCATCACATCCAGTGCTATTAAAGTCGAGCCGAGCCGCTCGGTCCGACCGGTAAAACCGCCATCCGGTCACAAAACTGGCTCGGAACAGTCTAAAAGCCGCTCCGGTTTTATGTAGCGGTTGACGAGCGGCTGAGGTGGTTAACCGCTCGAGCCGATCGAGCCGCTCGTCCGGTTTTTGCCATTCAGTCGTTAACTTTAATTAAAAAAATTGCAAAAAATTGAAAATTGAAATAAACCAAAAACGTCGGGCTCTCAAACTGAATCCTTATATCCGTTTCACAATTTTGAAGGAAATAGACAAGCTCTGATTAAGAAATGTCCACTATTTATACTGATAACATTTATTAGGTACTGATTCCCTAACGCTTTTTAAACGATCTAATGTCAGTTAGACCACTAAAGTGCGAGGCGTTCGCATTACCGGATTGGATAAGTCCTCCTTTTCATTTCACGTGGCAAATTAGTATAAGATTTTTTGTTAATTTTATCTCAGTATTATAATATATATATATATATATATATATATATATATATATATATGTGGTGGCTACTTCGGTGCACTCACTTTTTTGAGTGCACTCAGTGCACCCAACTCTAAAAGTGTCCATAATACATCAAATTTTGAACTTTAATTAGTACAATCAATCTAATAAGATGATATGACATAGAATCATAACAAATCAATCTATTACCCTAACCCCTTAACCTTCAATTTTGAATCCCAACCCAAACTCCCAAATTGTAAACCTAAATCCTAATCCTAAAATCCCTATATCCTAAATCCTTCGAATTAAAGTAAATTTTGAATGAATTTTTTTCAAATGCATGTGCTTCTTGTTCATAATATCATAATCAACAATTGATACCGTTTCGACATGAATCGCATGCTCAGAATGACAATTATGAGGCTGGTGCACTGAGTGCACTCGAAAAAGTGGGTGCACCAAATACGCCACCATATATATATATATATTGCTCTTAGTAGCTAGCAATGGGCAGGTTCGGTGCGGGTATCTCGATACCCATACCCGTCTCGTGGTAGGTCGGGTAGTTTATCGCAGGATGCGGATCGAGGCAGGTCGACCCAATGGGTATGTAATTTATATGGGGAACATAAAAAATATTAGTTATTTTTATTATACGAACAAGAAACAAATAATAATAATAATAATAATAAATGTAGTTAAATTATTGAAGAAATTGAGGTTTTCACTAGTTTACAACTTTATAATAGCGTAAATATGATGTAATAAAAGGAAAATTCTAAGTAATTTGACTAAGATTACATGTAATTTAGGCAAGAACGGGTCAAGAATGGGGCGATCAGGACAGGTCGGGTCGATGAGAATAATCATGTCCGCCTCGGCACGCCTACAAGGCGGGTCAGACCCGCCTTGAATAGATCAAACAGGTCAAGTCAAAATTAATATCCCTAGCTGGAAAGTGTGACCAGATTCATTTTTATCCTAATAATCTACAGCGGAGCATGGGCATAAAGTAGCGGTGATCTTATTTTTGTTTACCATTGCGCCTATTGGTGCCTAGGGGTGGGCATTGGGTGGGTCGGGTGGATTTTGATCATAAAATGCACCCACTCGCGCTTAAACGGATTGATAATTTTTAACCCACCACCCACCCACATTTAGTCTCGGGTTGGGTCGGGCGGATGGTGGATGATTTGGGTGGGTTTGTGGGTTCACCCACATCACAATGTATATAATATAAAGGAGTCAACTTAACAAGATAATAGGAGAAGAGAGTTATCTGGGGAAACAAGAAGATGAAATAGGGCGAAAAATATCGAATTAGTTCTTAAAATGGATAGAAGTTCTATTATGAAAGAGTTTTCTACAGTTTGAGATGATTATCAGGTGCAAGGAACTAAGAAAAATAATTCTACAAAAGAAAGAGCAGTGATCTAGGCACAAGAATTAGAGGAAAAAATAAAGGGAAGAAGAGAGAATCACTATTTGGAAGGTTGACTTTGAGGTTCAAACTCCAGGAGCAGTCCTAGTTTATGTCTAACGTCTCCACTCTCCCCTCTCTAGCGCCGACGACTTTGATCTTTTTGCTGTTGGGTTGATCGGGTCACCCGCGCACCCACCCACAACCCACCCACTACCCGGCGGATGGCTCCCAGCGCAACTCGTCACCCACCCATAGACCCACCCACTTAACAAAATTCGGGTCAAATGCGGGTGGGTTGGCCCAACCCCGCGGATGATCCACCCGCATGCCCAGCCCTATTGGTGCCAACTGGGCCAATTTTTTTTTTTTTTTTTGCCTATTTCATCTTTTCCTACTTAATTGGCCAGGCCTAGTCTTCGCTGTGTGTTTGTTTTGCAGGTGGGCTATGCGCAGTAAGCAATGGAAGAGTGAGGATTGGGACGCGTGGCAGTACCAGTGGTTTAGTAGTGGTTAAGTCGACAGATGGCTCACCATATCAACGTGCTTGCTTATACATGCCTATAGGTTTGGGCTATATTTGTTATTTTTTAGGAGGCCTCTAGTACTTTTTAACCGTCACGCGGTTAGGTTGCTTCTATGTTGAGGGTCTTGATGAGGTTACCAATCCAGCAATGGAAGAGTGAGGATTGGGACGCGTGGCAGTACCAGTGGTCTAGCAGTGGTTAAGTCGACAGATGGCCCACCACATCAACGTGCTTGCTTATACAGGTCTATAGGTTTGGGCTATGTTTGTTATTTCGTAGGAGGCCTCTGGTACTTTTTAACCGCCATGTGTTTAGGTTGCTTCTATGTTGAGGGTCTTGATGAGGTTACCAATCCAGCAAAATAAGTTGGTTGCATTGCATTCATCTTCAATGGGCTCGATCTATAACTTTTTCTCTGCAAAGTGTAGAGGTTAAGTTATGGATTATGCTTATTTTCGAAAAAGGTAACATAGAGCTGCCCATATTGTGGCATAAAAGCCCTATTATTGTCAGACTTGCAAAGATCTTTTACTTCTTGTTTGTGTGATTTGACCTGCAAAAGTCTGTATATTGTTTTACTCCGTATAATATATTCTCTTCCCCTCTACTACGACATTTTATCAAAGGGTTATAGGTATATTATGCCCTTCTACTTTGCATTTTTCTCAAACATGCCCCTCTACTATAAATCAGATCAAACCTACCCTTATAATATTAAGCACTTCTCAAACATGCTCTTCCATCTATTTTTCCGTCCCACAACCGTTAGTCTGGTCCAACCTGATTTTGGACAAAACGATCTGATGTAAATGAGAGGGTGAATGACAATTTTACCCTCCTCTAGCTCCAATATCATCGTCCCCAAAAATCTCTCACACACATCGACTCCTTCCTTCTAGCAGCCCCTGATCCCTCTCCGATCCACACCACCAGCCACCACCCCACCTTGATGTCATCAAACCGATGGTGGCTTCTGCCTCTAACCTGGTCATCGTTTTCCTCCACTGGGGCGACCCCCATTCCCAACCCTCTAGCGACTTCGACTGTATGTTTCCCCTAATGTCGCTGCCATCGCATCATCGTCATCCATCTTCGGATCCCCTCCCATATTAGCTCTACTCTTATCGGCCCTCATGTAACTATTGCGCCACCATATGCTTTGGCTCGGATTCATTGGCAACCTCAACCGGCTTTCTTCTATTTTGAAACTTCTCTCTCCTCGCAGATGAACAAAGAACTCAGTCAAGAAAAAAAATCCCTAAAAGAAAAATTGAACTCCCTAATTTTTCAAAGCTGATAATAGGCAACACTAATATGTGATTTCAATTTTCAAAATGAAGGATCTCCCTATTTTTTTAATATGAAAAATAAAGCCTACGTTTTCTTTCCCCTGAGTGATGGCGACAACAAAAATTATACCACCGCAACCTTAATACTTAGCAAAGAATGCATCTCTTTCTCCTTCATTTTACACACACCAATGATTGGTGAGCTAGCAACCAAATCTCGAGATGGCTAGTGGTGATTGCGAGCGACTAGATGGAAGAGAGAGAAGCAAATCTGGGCAGTAGCTCTGCAAAACTATGAGCGATGATCAAAAATTGGACTGGTAATCCTAGAAAGAGAGAGAAGAAGTTCGTAGATGAGGCTCCTGGGGAATCAATCGTTATCTTCAGATTAGATCCGATAGGGCTAGGCGACCGATTTAGCAAAACATATGATAAATTGGACCGGGGTTGGAGGCTACGATAAACAAAGGGAATGGGATTTTGGCAACGATCATGTTGGAGTGGAGGGTAAAATTGCCATTCACCCTCTCATTTACATCAGATCGTTTTGTCCAAAATCAGGTTAGACCGGACTAACGCTAGTGGGACGGAAAAATAGATGGAAGGGCATGTTTGAGAAGTGCTTAATATTATGAGGGTAGATTTGATGTGATTTATAGTAGAGGAGCATGTTTGAGAAAAATTCAAAGTACAAGGGTATAATATACATATAACCCTTTATCAAACATGCCCATCAACTATTTTTTTACATCAAACATGCCTCTGTACTTTGAAAAAATTATCAAACATGCCCTTCTTTCAAAATTTCCATCCAAAACACGTTAACGAAAGTTGAACTTTGGTTTGGGTGACACAAATGTCTAAAATATCCATAATAATTTCACTTTAGAATTTTTTGGTTCTTTTGCATAGCCAAATAATTTCACTTTGAAGAGACCCAGAGAAATAAAACGGGAGACAAAACATACATTTTCGCTCGTTCAACCATAATTGATGATTTTTTCAATGAAAAGTTTAACAAAATGACATGTTTGATAATTTTTTCAAAGTATGAGGACATATTTGATGTAAAATATAGTAGAGAGACATGTTTGATAAAACGTCGTAATAAAAAGGCATATTATACATGTAACCAGCTTGGTCGAGGAGGCAGCAGCAACAAACAAAGAAAACCCTTATCTTCTATCTTTTGTGGGTGGGTTTTGCTGACAGTTCGATCCCCTTCCCTCTTCTCCTAACAACCCCACCACCCATCAATATTCACACGCGTCACGCCCCACACCAGATTGGGAGCCGCCGCTCAGCATTCGCACATGCTCTGCCCCGCCCTTCATATCAGACTCTGACTAGTTGTACTTGTAGGGGACCATCCCTTCCCTTCCCTTCCCCACCAACCGCACACTCCCCCACGCCCTCCACAATTGGGGACGCATATCACCCTCGTCCTCCTCACACAGAGTCCCATATGGGCAAAGGGATGTAAAGGCCAATTTTATATAACAAATCTTTTTTTAAAAGCTGCCACGATGTAAGAGGCTTTACTTAATAAAGCCCACTACTACACCCATGAATACACTTACTTTTTAGAAAAGCTTTACATCCATTCCAGGCAGGGGAGGCAAGGGACTAAGAAAACCAATCCTCTATTTACAGCAAGGATAGATGAAAACTGCAATGCTACTTACTAATCATCACTGCTTCAATCAACCCTATAGCAGCGGGCGGGGGAGAGGGAAGCCATTACACTTACACATCATTCATTTTCCTCCTTTTTTGCTTGCTTTTCCTTACCCTACTATCTTTGAGAGAGAGAGAGAGAGAGAGAGAGAGAGAGAGAGAGAGACCATTGGATACTAAACTCCAGAAATCGTCCAAAACTGGATTTTATACTGCTCCATCTAATTACCCACTGCTACCTGCCTTCCCTTCTCAAAATGCTCCTCCACCAACTAACACCATCCATCAATACTATTCATAATAAGCAGCCCCAAAATCTGCAATCACAACACCAAAACAAAACGTCATGATTCATTTTAGCTCCGCACCTACTGCCTCGCATAATGCATTTGTGATCCCAAAACCCACCTATCGACTGAAGCAACTCTGCTTTCTAGCAGTTGTCCGAGCCAGACGGCAAGGCGCATCCACCCGACTGCTTCATCTCCCCGCCGCCTTCTCCATCAGAATTATTGCTGCACTTCGGATTCAAGCTCCCTGGATTCATCTTCTGTACTTCTTCCCTGGTGTAGATGAAAATCTTACGGACCATCCCAACAAATTCCCTGTTGTTTAATCACAACATCTCAGCATTAGTTCCTTAACCACAAAAGATGTACACAAAACTAGCATTCTCTTCACATGCGACGTCCATGATATACAGGTAAGAAACACGTACTGCCAAGGGTCATCTCCAACAAGCATCATGTCTCCCTCGTCATCAGTGTACACAATCATCCAATTCTGCTTCGGGTCATCCAGTTCACCACCAAATTCAAACAAGCGGTCCAATTCAGATATCAGTTCTTCATAGTTGCTGAACTTGCTCAGATCAACTGATCTCCCCAAGGCAATCCCCTGCTTGTGAACCTGAAGCAACCAACCTTTTCAATTCAGCTTCACTTTCAAGCAAAATACTACCAGACAAGCAAAATTTATATATATTATATTTATAAACATATGATACCTTGGTACAACTCCTAGTTGAACCACTTTGCGACTTCCCAAGATTGTCTCGTGAATGGCCCTGTTGTAATCGTTTCTCGTGCTCGCTGTCATTAGTTATTTTGCAACTCCTTGATTCCGGCTGATCAGTGTCAAGTGGATGATGATGTTGACTAGCCTCATTTCCTTTAGTATGGCAGACCGAGTCATTCATAACTTTCTTATTAGGCGAAATGGCTGCCTCGGGAACCAAAGAGTTACCAATGAGAGGAATGCCAAACAGCTTGCAGTTCCCATCAGTGGACTTCCCAGGCTCTGGTGCCAGAATATTCTTTGATATCATTTCTCTTGATTGGGGATGATGATGCTCAAACTGAGATGATGATGGCGGAGGCATCAACCAGTTCAGATGTGACTGGTCAGCCCCCCTAGCATACTCACTAAATGCACTGTATCTAAGGTTTGACCGCACTGGATGATGACCTAAATAATCACTACCTTGTCCTGAAGCTTTCGTGTTGGTATCCGACATCTTGAGTGAAAGGCTCGATGACATCAAGGACCATGAATCACCAACCAAGTTGAATTTCCCATCCTGATCTATAATTGCATGCTTCCTCACAGGAACAGAACTTCGGTCAGCGAAGGTTGAAGAAGAATAACCATGTTGGGAAGAATCAGCAGCATTTCCAGCAAAGCCAGACAGCAAATCTGTGTAAGTTGGCTCAAGCCTAGCAGAGGGCATCCAGCTCTCTTGTCCAGTTCTTCTACCAGTAGAAACCATATCAACCTTTCCATCATCCACAGAAAGTGGCCACATAACAGACTTTTCAGCTGTTTCCGACTCGTTGCTCTCGGTAGTGAAATTGCCTCTCGAGGTCACGAATTCTTGACCTTGCAAGACCCTCGCATATCCACCAGCTGGCAGAGCAGGGTCTGCAGTTACTTTGGATGAAACTGTCCATATCAATAAAAACAACACTTTCATAAACCCAAAACTGAGACATACATCAAGAACAAAGAAAAGGAAGTTGAGAACAGCGATATGAAGTGGTGAATCAGCAAAGTCTAGGTAGCATGACCAAACCTTCTCTAGAGAGCACACAAGAATCAGGTGATGAGGGGACAATATTTGTTCGGGGTCTTTTTGGCCTCGGCATTGGGAGTTGACTCAGAGCAGGAGGGGCCAAAGCAGGTTCTATTTGCCAGGGAGAAACTCGTTCAGGACGAGGTATGGTCGAAGTCTCATCCCATCTCACCTGGAATCACACCATCATTTGAGCATCTTTTCAAGTACGATAAAGAGAAGAAACAATCAAAAAGTCATTGATCCTACTTTCAGGCATCTCCATTTCGACTCTTGCCACCTATTTGGGTCAGCATCTTCAATCCCAACTATTGTCCCGGTAAATCTGCCATGAAAAAGAGCCACGCAAATAAGCTGAAGTCCTCCTTAGACTTACAACCAACCACCATTAGGCCAGCCATCAGATTCCTGGTTAAGTAATAGAACGAAAGAACAAAGGAGCAACATATACCTCTGCTCTGGAGCTTCTTCTCCTTCAAACCTCATTTTAAACCTCATGCCGATGGAATAGTTGTTTTTTACTGAGTCCATGTACTGATCGAATGGGACAATGAACTCTGCTGGACTTGTCCTGTAATAAGACATTAAAATTACCACCACAAGATAATGAACAGGTACACTCAGATCACAATGTCTGAAGGACTACCAGAAGAATCAAGTCACCTACATACCTTGGTTTATAATACACAGTGAACAAGGTTCCAGTAGAAATTGCATGCCAGGCTGTGGCTAGAACGCCCAAATGCATGCTGTGACTGGAGATCACAGAGGAGGGGACATTTCCTTGCTGTCTCATTGCGCGCCTGACACCAACACGGAGCTCCCCATTTTCGCCTCTGGAAGACAGATCCAAAAGTCACAACACAACATGTTAATTGCAATTATAGAGCAAACTGAATGAAGACATTATTGATGGATGAAGATGATTCCAGACCTTAGAAATATGAAGGCATCACCAGCAACCAGTCTTTTAGAGCTAACAAAAACACTCCATCCACTTTGAAGCAAATGCCTACGAGGTTGACCTAGCATACACGTTTGAAGATAGATTCAGAAGAAAAAAAATTAATACTGCAAAAGCAATCAACCACTACACAACATTTGAACAGGAGTAATACATATTGCAATATGATGGCCTATGCATAGCAATAAGTGACACTTTCTTGCAAACACTGGTCTTCAGATATGCAATCATGCATGGAACAGCAACTGCCAAGGGAAACTTTAGTTTACACGTACAACAATTGTAGCTCAATGTAAAAAGATACCTCGAAAAATATGACGGAAACGCCATTCAATGCCATGTAGATCTTTGGCAACCAACTCCTGGGTGGGAGGTTGTCTCGACATATCCTGCATTTTTAGAAAGGGTAAAAATGCATAACGATGCAATTTAAGAAAATACAAAAGCCCCAGGCCTTGCAACGCAATCACACACCAGTGGTGGCAGACACTCATCAGCATGCCTCCTAAGCACTGAAAATCCACCATGAGTGCTTGTATCGGATGCAGTCAGGGTCTTGCAAAACGAGTGTACATGAAATCTCGGAGGAGGAGGCAGTGGTGACTCCTTCTTCACTGCATTCTCATCTTGCTGATATAATAACAAAGAACAAAAATCAGATGCAATTATAAAGCAAAATCCCAAAGAAGGACTTCTCAGAAGTGGCAATGCCTAAAAAGTCCAAACATCACTTACACTAGCCTCTGGCAACAAGGTCAATTGTGCAAACACCTCATCAGTGTCTGGTTCGGCCTAATTTCACGAAGTGCATCGTTAGCAGAAAGAAAACAAGAAATCCAAACTTGGAAAAATCAACCTGATACACAATGATATAGATAATGGTCTTACCTTAAGCTCAACATTAAGCACACGACATAGGATCTTTGACGGAAGATTATACAGTGGCATCTGCTGGTCTGCCCCCTGGTTGGTGGACGCCTCGACCTAAAGCCATAATTGGATCAGTGAATTTGAGCAACTCATGGAATAGAGAAAGTGATAAGGTAGAAAACTAACTGAATTTGCAAGTACAAGCATAGACAGACTCCAGAATAAAATCATTCAAAAACATCAAACTATAATCAGAAAATCACAAGAGTAAAGAGGGTTTCGGAGAGGGCTAGCGCGGAAAGTGAAATCAACCTGCTCGATGTGTCCCTGAGGGAAGTAGAAAACAAGCTGTCCTTTACGAGGAACCGTCACCAAAGGACCAGCACAGGCATGCCATAGCTCCTTGTACAGCGCAGCCTCAGCGTCTAAACACGATGAACACAAGAAGAAGAGAAGAAGAAAACAACGAACAGCGAAACCAAATTCAATACGAAAATCGACGCACTGATAAAAGTAATTTTACAGGATAAGGGAAGAAACTAACTACTACAGGAATTTACCCATGGGAGCACTGGAATGAGCAACAGCTCCTTTCTGACCATCCATAGCTTTCCTACCGTCGTTAGACTCGCTGTAAGCAGAAGAAAAGCTCTCTACTCTGACGTTCCCACTGTTACCTTTCATCGAAATCTCAGAAGACGCCATAAACGAAACTCGATGACTTCCACAGGCTCAGATCTCTTGAAAATCAGCTGAAATTTCCACACTAATCCACCATCTCCGGCCTTTCAATGTCTCCACCTTCCGATCGGAGCAACGAATCCCCCCACAAACAACAACACAATCTCAGAGAAACCAAAAAATCAACGCTCAATTGCACGGAAAATCTTCTCCAGCTGTCTCTCGCTTACTCTCGTCGCCTTCCTTTCTCACTTCTCTATCTTACTGCAACCACCGCAGGTTTTGTGTTGAGCTTAGCAATTCTCTACCCCTTCTCTTTCTTCTTCTCTCTCTACCCCCTTCGCCTCTTGTCTCTCTCTTCTCTATCATTCTCTCTCTTTGTCTGGGGGAGAAGCCGAGACTTAACCAGAGTGGTCAAAACTACGGGCAATCATTTCAACCACGGTCAATTTCTAACCAGTCTCCTTCGGCTAACCGGCATTCACCGGTCGTATTGACCGCCTAAAGCCGGTGGGTTGTGGCGTCAGAGGGGTCAGGGATCAGATAGATATATTAAATATTTTACCCGGGAAAAAAGAAGATAGATATTATTAAATAAAGGAGGCGTCGTAAGGGAGAGACCACAAACAGCGTCAGCTTCACCGTTAATGTATCCGTCGACTGCCCATTGGTTAGCCATCAGCTATGTTTATATCACTAGTAACGCCGTTTGTTTCCCGACTAGTCGGAGGAAAGCTGTTTTGTTTTTACGGGGAAAATTGGCTTTGTCGTCCTTAACGAAAAATAAAACAAAAGAAAATCGCTTTTTCGTGCTTTGTACTGTTAAAGATGACATGGGATGGGGTTAGAGAGACAAGGGCGGTTACTGCCCATGACCCGTCCTTACGTTGGATTTCCCTTTTTTTTTTTTTTTGTGAGAACCTACGTTGGATTTCTAATGCAAGAGTAATACAAAACATTTACCAAATTCTACATCTAATAATTAATTATTCAAACTCTATCATTATTGTTGAACCTAGTTAAGTTAATTGTGTGCAGTTTAAGTTGATGGGAAATAAATGGTGGAGGGTTTGTAATGAAACAATTTCGAGTAAGGAGAAAGTTGAGTTTATGTTGTTGATTTCTTTTGATAATTAAGGTGTTTAAAATTATGATGTTTCGTTATGTGATGATTGATGATCGATAAAGGAATTGTCCACACTCCATGAATTGGATTATTTATGACGACATTAATTTTGAACAACACCAATTCTACTCATGAAATGATCGAAATTGACTTGCCACCACATATAAAAACAAATAAAGTAAGGATAGTGAGGTAAATTATTCTTTAAAATAATAAATTCATGACCCTTAAATTCATAAACAAATTCAATAAGCAAACAAACGTTTTATATTCATAATTTACCAAATCAAACATAACTATTGGTTTCTAAAACCTTTATTCTAACCAAAACTCTCATTTTTTAAATCCAACAAGCAAATTACCTTTAAGAAAATTTATGTGTTATATTTTACATTGTTTGATTTTTGTGATAGTTATAGTACTCAATAAGTCATAATAATTTTTTGATAAAGTGTCAATTTTATCATTTTTTTAATAGAAAAAGCAAAACATATATAAAAAGTTAGTGTTTCGATCAAAATTAGGGGACAATATCGGTAATAACAATTATCTTGAGGACTCTTATTCGGGCACCTTCGTTCGAACTCCTCATGTGTGGAAGAACTGACGAAGAAGGTGAGGGGGTGGCCCCCTGATTTACATTCCGACTCTCAGGTTACTAGGAGTATTATATAATATGAGTTATAAAATGTATATGAAATTATAGAGAAATGAGTGTTAGAGCGAGAACCATATATGTTGAAAATGTGGGAAGGGGAAAATAATTCCTTAGTTTGGAAGCTTCAGAGTCCTTGTATAGGACAAGGCTCCTTTAGTGAGAAGCCTTGTAGTGGGCTTGAGCTCTAGGTGAGATGTGCAATGGGCTTGAGCCTACAAGTGAGAAGGAGTTTAGGTGCTTACTTTGTTAGTTGCCTATATCTCAAAAATTTCCAATTTTTTTCTTGTATTATGTAAGAATGGATGGAGTAAAATAATGTATTAACCAATAATAATTTGCTTTACATGTGATTCCATAAAGTGTGTGTGCACGCGCGTTTGCCCCTAGGAGAAGTAAGGTTGGACAGTGATGCCTTTTGATAGCTTGCAAAGCTCCTCTAGTCAAAACTACTCAAGTAATTGAGTCTTCACCCATCAACCTTTAGCTATGTGCTTCACCTATACAATATGCCCCTCACGACTTGAAACTTTTGACTCAATGCATTTGACAACATTGTTGAAAATCATATATGTCAATTATTTATGCAAGCATGGCATATAATATTCTCCTATTTTGGCCTGGTTCTATTGGCAATAGAATCCAATCCTTAAAAAGAGTTAGGGTACTTAGCTCGAATTATGTTGAAGAGGTAGAAGGTTTGATTTGATTTTCATTCTCATGGTTGTGCAAGCTTCATTTCAAGGGGCATGATTTCTTTCCCATGGTAGGAGCTTCATCTCAAGGATGAGATTTCATTCATATGTTTGTGGGAGCTTCACTTTAGGGGGTGGGATTTCATTCTCATGGTGAGAGCTTCGCCTCGGGGGGGGGGGGGGGGGGATCGATTACCATGGTTGTGGGAGCTTTGCCTCAGGGGACGTGATTTTTTGTCATTGACACTTTGTGCATTTGCTACACAAGTTAGTGGAGAGTTTCAATGCATTTGATAGCATTGTGAAAAGTTAAATGTACCCATGAAAGATGTAGACGGTGTGACTGACTCGCTTGTACCGTCACACTAGATAGTGGCCAAGTGTAACCACAAACTAATGCATAGTATAGCGGGTTTACCTTTAATTGTCAACCCAGATCCTAGATGTGATGACTACTCCGTGAAGTTCTCATTATCTAGCTGTTTAAGTGTAGTGAAGTTGTAACTAAACTAAGCAAACACAAAGCAGTAAAGTTGTGATTCAAGTTTGAGAGAGGTCACCCAGATATGGTTCCCCCTAGATTGCAGTTAAGCCGAGTTGTAATTCACCAAGTTCAGATTTAATGATAATTATACTGCGAAAGGTTCTTACTCAGTTTGAAGTCTCGACTAAAGGTCTTCAGACCCTCCCAGTCTGAATACCCGGCGGGCAACTAACCTCCACCGGAGTAAACGAACTGAGGCCCTAACGTGCAAAACCTCCTCTACTGGAGTAAATCCAGTACAGAGCAGTGAATTGACTTCTTGACTAAAGTAGTTGATTCACCACATTCAATCAAGGGTGCTCTATCAACCTAGGCATATATTCTCTTTCTAGGTCAAAGCGGAAACTACAAGAATGTGATCAAGATTCATGTAATTCTGAAATCATGCCTCAATTGAATATAATCAATATCAAAATATCATGTACTTGGGTTCATACAACCAAAGCTAACATACAAATCTAGGGTTCTTCATACCCAGGTGAGAGATGGGGTTTACTCTGAGAGAGAGAAGAGAATTCATCTTCGGTTTACTCTTTTCCTCAATTCGTGTGGATGGTCAATGAAATTAAGGGGGATCAGAAGCTCTATATGTGCCCTTAAAAACACATCTTCGAGTAGGCAAACCGTTCAACGAGTGGAATTTTTACTTTTACTAGAGACGACTTAGCTTCTCCTTGTAGGCCTACCCCACTAAGGATAACTAAAATCTCTTCCAAAACCCAATTTTGTGCAATGAACGGTGCCACGCACATTGGGCTTACCCCATGTTTAAAATTTCAAATTTTTTACATGGAGGACCAACTGCTTTGTCATTATGCACATTGAGCACCCTTCTAAGAAACATGGGTCCACACACAACACAGAGAGAGTCATCGATATCACATGAATCAAAGGTCCTAAATCCACTAATTCACACAATCAAACGACACAACAAAAAGAAAGATAAGAAAGATCCTATACTTCAGCATTCTCCATAGTGCTACACTACCTCCCTAGGTTGTATAATACTATAAAGACTGTCAATTCAAAGCATACTAAGCAGGAAATTGCAAGGAACACGTACTTGGAGACCTCAAATTGAAATTTGGACAGTGGACTAGGCCTCAAACACACAAACACAACTAAGAAGTCAAATATAAACCCCCCCCCACACACACACACTTAAGATCGACATTGCCCTCAATGGAGAAGAGGGAAGGATAAAGGGGAACAATGTTACCGGAAAGAACAGACTCCATCAAGACTAGAGAGTGGAGCAGTGAGGGGTGGAGGACTGGAAATGGGACTAGTCGGGGCAAGAACATGGGTTAGAGCAGAAAAACAACCACTCAAACACAAAGTCGTTAGGTAGAGTTGTCAGCCCAATGGCACAATATCCAAAAGAAAAATAAACCAAACACAACTAATCCAGTTTGCACTCCTTCCCAAACAAGACAAACGCAGATAAGAGCCAGTGAGTACAGCCTACTCGAGGTGGTCGAAGTCGATGGTGCACATGAGGTCGTCAAAGTCCTCTGGTGGAGGTGGTGATGCGGGTGAGTGCTCCCACGGAGTCGTCTAATGGTGCTCTAGGTGGCAAAATTGGAGCAGGTGGTGCTGGTACTCCATCATCCGTCAGCCACAAAGCCGATCCCGCTCGATATGAGCCAGGGTGATGCCCTGCTGAGTATCGAGGCAGTCGAGCCGCTCTTCATAGGTAGCCATGTGGGCGGCGTACTCAGTCTGGTGGGTTGTGTACTGCTGCTGGAATTGGCGTTTGTGATCCATGAGCTGCTGGTTCTAGAGACCGAGCTGCTGAAACTAGAGCCTCATCTGGTGGAACTACTTGGTGAAAAAGTCCATCGGCGGAACAAAAGGACCAGAAGAGGACTCGCCTCGCTCGGGTCTCCGTCCTGGAGGAAGGTCCCCAAGCGGGGAGAGTGGGGTCTCCAACTCGTCCTCATCTATAGCCCCACCATCATCATCATCGCCATCCTTGTCGTCATCCTCCTCCTCCCCATCATAGTCATCATCGTCCTCATCATCCGCGTCCGCAGCAGGGGGTAGGGAGAGGTCGTCGACCCACTCCCGACCATCATGAGAGGTCAGCAACAGGGCATTATGAATCACGTCCCTATTGATGGGATGAGAGCCATACTCCTCAGTGGATTCAGTTAATCCCTCAAAGCAGATCCCAAAGTGGCACCAGGCGGGTGATCAGGTGACCACAAAACAGGTAAGTGGGCTTCTCGTGGCAGTTTGGCAAAGGTGCGCGCCATAAGAGACCCCAGGTGCAGCAAGTGGTTGTGCCTCCCCATCGAGTACATGCTGTAGAGCACGCGCTTCGGTATCTTGTGTGATCCGGTGGTATTGGGGATGAACGAGCGGGTGAGCTGGAGGTTGATGATGTGCCACTCGGTTC